CTGACCGACATAAGTTACACTGATGGAAGTGCCGGTGTGGACACTCTCCTGCCAACACAGTTACCGCCATTCATTGGGGCTGATTTAATTATGCTGATGGGAAAGCTCTCTCCTGTGGGCATAGAGCAGGTACACAGGAGGCCTTACAGTGGTGCAGCTGCAGCAGTACAGTCGTGCTGCTGTAAGGTCTGTAGCGTAGACATAACCTGAGTGTGCAGCCTGTTTGGAAACCAGAAAAAGTGAGAGCTGCCAGGGATCAGACAATGAACAGGAGAGCTAATGCATTTGCTTATACTGGGGGCTTGGCTCTGCTATGATCCAGCAGTACAGGAGACAGACTCCTGCTGCCCTTAGGCTAGGTCTACACTACGGGGGGGGGGGGGGGGGGGGAGAGGAGAGTCGACCTAAGATACGCAACTTCAGCTACGTGAATAGCGTAGCTGAAGTTGCGTATTTTAGGTCGACTTACCTGGCTGTGAGGACGGCGGCGAGTCGACCGCTGCCGCTCTGCTGTCGACTCCGCTTCCGCCTCTTGCCGCGGTGGATTTCCGGAGTCGACGGCAGAGCGATCAGGGATCGATTTTATCGTGTCTTCACTAGACGCGATAAGTCGATCCCCAATAGATCGATTGCTACCTGCCGATCCGGCGAGTAGTGAAGACGTGCCCTTAATCATGCTAAAATACCACCAGCCATAGGTGCACCAATCAACAGGCTCTTCCGAGAGATCTGGTTTTAACCTGACTGCTCCACAGCAAGGCTCAAAGGCAAACAGGACAGCCACGTGTAAAGACGACCAAGTGCTTACTAGGTGGGCGCTTGGGAAGGCCTCCCTCCAACACACTGTTGGTTCTGCTTTAGCAATGTTTGTATGTAGCTGAAGTCGCAGAGGGACATTAGGGAGCAGAACATAAAGGCTCACATTGGGGTGTGGCCAGGACCAACATCCAGAAACAAATTCCTAGGATCCTTACTGGCTCAGGCCCTGCTTTCCCGGGGCATCCAAGAGACAAAAGCTAGTAAAAGTGGTTTGCATTTTGCAGGTTTATTTGGTTCAAATCTATTAAAGCTATTAAACAAAAACCCAGCCAGCATCTTTGGTAGCTAACTCTGCCAAGATGAACAAGAACGTCCCCTATGCTCCACCAGGAAGCCCTGTCTCCCCTCTAGGGGTTAGTAACAGCTTGGCTCTGCTACTTAGAACAGGCACCTAACAAAACCGGGCCTTGCAAAGGAGCAAAGGCTGGGATCCAGCGAGCAAAGCACCCCCATACACACACTGAACACAAAGCACCCAAGCCCCAGCGTTGTGTGGCCTGGAAATGGCCAGTTTGGGAAGCAGCTGCTGTTTCCTGCCCTGCTGCACAATCCTTCACCTACTCATTACATCCCCCACAGGCTTAGCTGGGCCTCCAAATTTGTAAGATACCCCAAGGTCAAAGCTAGTGTCTAGGTCATAGGAGATGGGCCCCTGGGACAGGAAATGAGATTCCAGTCTCCTAATAAATGGTTATTTTGACCTTTGCTTCCATTTCTGCATTCTGTAGGGGGCACAGAGTCGGATGGGCGAGGCAGTGAGCGAGCGAAGGAATGTCTGGCACTGGGGGAGCAGCTGAACCCTGTAACTCTGACAGGGTGCGGTCAGCCCCTAATGGAGGCTGGAGGGAAGAGACAGACCCAGCACAGCCTGTTCCCCAGAATGGGGACTGGGAAATCAAGGAATGCTGGGCAAAGCTGTGGGACAGAGGCTGCCTCCTTCCCAGCAAGGGAGAGACCCATGACGGGGCACAATCTCGGGGGGCTTTCTGCTAGAGAGCTGGGGGGAGCTCTGGCACTTGTCAGGGTCTCCCCAGGCACACAGCCCACATGGGGTACACAAATGGACTGCCATGAGAGCAGCCAATGTCTGGGGAAAAGGCCCCTGAGGGGTGGGGCATGGTCTGACAGCCAGAGAAAGATGGGCAGACCTGAGGGAGCCTCGGGTGCCTCTCTGACATGGACACTGGCTGAGAGGGAGCAAATCCCAAGGGGGGAAAGTTCGCTGAACTGTGGGGCCGAATCACCCCCTTGGCCAGGCAGGCTGAGGAGACGCCAGTCACCTGCTGCCCAAGGAAAGCTCCCTGTCCCAGTGACGTTGGGGCTGGTGTGCAGCTGGATCCCATTGACACTCTCCCAGGAAGGGTGGGTTAGGTTTCCCAAACAAGGCCCGTTTCCATAGGGCTGGTGGAGCAGTGTTCCCTCCAGGACCAGCTGCTCCAGGCCACAGCAAGGTGTGCTGAGGCTATGTCTGGGTGCCCATCGGGGCTGGAGGTGGGCAAGGAGAGGTTTAGCACGGGGACACTTTACGCACCTCAAGGTTGGTATCTAGAAGACTGAGCTCTTAAAGTTACCATAGACAAAACACTGCATCTTACCCACCCCCGCTCTGTGCTAATCAGGCACCCCATGGTCTCTTCGCACTCCTCGGTACCCCCATCCTGAGTTCCTACCATGCCTGTGCATGCCCTACTGTCTCCTCCTCACGGTCCCTTTCTGGGCTCCCATCACCCCTCCCCCCATGCATGCCCTTTCCCAAGCCCATGGCTTAACGCCACCCCTCTATGTGCTCCCCAGTCCATACCCCATCTTCCTCAGAGCCCTCCCATCACAGCACAGCTCCCCCAGCCAGAGCTAGTCAGTCTTGGGGAAGGTCACATTTAAACAGGATGGTCTGGGTCTAAGCAGAGGGTGAAGGTGAGTGTGAAGTCGGGCCAGCTGACAATGATCTGAACAGGGCCATCTTCACATCCAGAGTGTTTGAATATTGTGTTAATTAATATGACCTCATCTCCAGCGCAGACAACCCTTGGTGTCCTCCCCCTGTGGCTCAGCCTGGCAGATAGCAGCAGTCAGGTCAGTAGCATGGCAGTTTAAACTACCAAGATACTAAACATCCATAAATATAAACCCAGCTCTTCACACACTGAAAAACCCAACACTAATATAGCTCCTGGACACTCAGAGGCATGTCTCAGCAAGGCCAGCTAAGCACACGCAAACAAAGCACGCACAGCTGGAGTCCCCGGGTGAAACCCTGTTTGGAATACTCTGAACCACACTTCGGAACAGTCTGATCAATGAATCACAGGCTCATTTTTAAAACATCCAAATTCCTTTTGGGATTTTTACCAAACTCCCCAGAAAAGCCTCTACCTTGAGTGAGAAGCGGCACAGAAAAACTCAGGAAGATCAAGCTCTTTCTGGAGGAGCTAGGGAAGGGTTAAATATGGGGCTTATAATGGGAAGCCAGCTTCCACTTTAACTACAGCATGGCAGTAGCCACTTCACAGCAGCACAGAGAAGGAATGAAGACAAGTGACTTATGACATGCTGCAGACTGACTCTCGCATGACACACTGGCAATATCAGCAAGAAAGATCAAGTGCAGAATGCTGGAAGTCCAGCCTGGGCAGGATGCTAGCAGCACATTGCCTGGATAAGCGCAGCGGCCTCAATGCAGAGTGAGGTAGGGACATCTCTTCAACAATTGCCCCAGATTTCTCTAGACAGGGCTTGGGATCAGAGGCCTCTCCTCAGCACTAAAACTGGTGCAGCAGCTTCCACACCCCCTAGGGTTATTTTACTTCCTCGCCTCCTGTGCCTATCACTCAAAGGAAGGGGTCTATGCACGTGGGGTTTGTAAACAGTACATTCTAGTGAGGGACATCTCAGGGGGTCGCGAGGTGTCAGCCTCCACCCCGAACTCCGCTTTGCATCCACCATTTATAATGGTTTTTAATTTATAAGAGGGGGGTCGCACTCAGAGGCTTGCTGTGTGAAAGGGGTCACCAGTACAAAAGTTTGAGAACTACTGTTCTAGCAGCTCTTGCTCAATGCTAAAGCACTGCAAGTAGAGCATGAGTCGAATTTAGGCTGCTCTCCTGTTGAGAGAAGCAGTGACATGGGCCACACCCAATCTGTTTCTTTCCTAACAGCACCAGGGCCGGCGCAACCCATTAGGCAGCCTAGGGCGCTACAATTCGGGGAGCGGCGACCGCAGCGGTATTTCAGTGGCGGGACCTTCCGCTGCCTCTGTGGGGGGCGGCATTTTGGGGCGGGACCTTCCCGCCGCCTAGGGCATCAGAAAAGCTGGCGGCGCTCCTGAACAGCATCCAACTAATGTGCTTCCTAACCCCACAGTCCCTCTGGCACTAGAATGCATCACCCTGGAGGAGGCCCTTAGCAGTCAAGTAGGATTATTTCAAGGATCCTTGTTCTAAAGGATCTTGTATTGTCTCAGGCCCTTTGTGTACCCTATGGAGAGCCAAAAGTGTCAGTGCTTCCTGCTTACTGCCACAATTCCAATAAATCAACACTGGCTAAAGCAAAAAAACCCACACATGCTACAACAGAAGCCAAACAAGGAAATGACGACAGGTACAAATTTGCTCTCCCTTAAAAAAGTCTTCAGAATAGACATCCTGCTGAGGCTGGGAATGCCTCTGCATTATGCACTCTTTGGCACTCGTACTAAGAGCAATGGATGTCAGCTGCGATAGATGACTCCATACTATGGCAATGTGTAACCTCTAGATTACATGGTGTTACAGGGGTCAGGACTAACACTGGTCCTTTCCCCGAAGATGCTTAACGGATTCCACATTTGCCCAGCCTGTCCATACAAGTGAATTCACTTTGCTGCAGGTGCCCTGCTCTCAGACAGCAGTTTGCCTTCATTGACACTGACAATCAGTTTCCCAACAAGACAACAGCGGACGCTAGAGCGGAGGAAATTTTACAGGTCTCCCTGGGCCAGCTGTCAGTGACAGCGTAACCCCACAGGCCAGATGGCCACTACTTTATGGGGTGGAGAGACCTGAAGCCTTCTCCACCCACCCCAGAGATGCAGGGGTTTCTGCTTGTCTTTTTACCTTAGATAACAGGGGAAAAAAAGTGTAGTCTTTCCTGTTCTTGCCGGAGGGCCTCCTGGGTGTCTCAGAGCAAGTGTATGGGGGGGGAGGGGGGGTTCTCACTCCGCGATGAATATTTAACAGAGAGATCCTTTCCCCAAACATTAGTCAATCATTAATGTCAAGACACTGAAGCGACATTTTTAACAGTCTGAACCAGACTTAACCTCAATTGCTTAGATATCGAGTCTCCTGTGATGGCAATGCCACTACTTACTCCAGTCACTCGAGAGCCTTCCAGGGTAGGCAAGAGCCACGTCTCTAATGTAACCAAACAAGCAGAACACAGATCATTTTAAAGCCGCATGGGCTACCTTTGTACAGGACAAAGCAGCACTAGAGGGCAAAAGCCCAGTTCTGTACTGTGCAGATCTCCTTTCAAAACTACTCAAAAGCAGGGCTAGGAAGCTCTTTGTACATTCAAACTGCAGAACACACTGAAATGAGGAAGAGACGCTGCCGACTCTCCTGATGGCTGCTGCTGCTAGAGCAATGTTTGGTACAGATACCCTCTCTTATAGGCACTCAGGGGGTAAAACGTAGCCACAACAAACTTGCCATCAAACATCCTTCCAGTGAGCAATTTCTGGGCAGCTTTGGAATCACCAGCATTTGCATATTCAACGAAGACCTGGAAAGACAGAGACAAGGGCATCACTGCCATTGAGTCACAGACCCCAGGGATTTCATCCATCACCCACTGATTGGGTAAGTTTGGCTTTATTCCTTTCCTCCTTAGTGAGGAATTATCGCTAATGAACTGCTTTCCTTGCCTGTAGCTCCAGAGTGCCCTCAGCAGACTCCGTGGGACTAGAACAGCAGGGAAGGGGGTCACACAGCCCGAGTCTGTAGGGAGGGCCAGTTAAGATTCTACCTACCATTCCTCATTTCTCTGGACTAGACATTTAGCAAGTTGGCGCTGAACATCTTAACACACCCCTTTCTCACCCCACTTTCCTCATCCTCCACTCTGTACCCCAAACCCTCCCCTAAAACTAGTCTGGCATCTCTTAGGCTAGGAAACACTGAGCTACCTTGCCAAATTCATGCTGCTGCACAACAGAACCAGATACTTCTAGTTGCACAGTACTGCCCTCATCCAGCAGGATTAATGCTTGACAGTCAGGCTGGCAGTGTGAATATCAAGCCCCTTCCCTTCCACACTTACTTGGCCTTTGCCAGGATTCTCCTTTGGAACAAGCATGGAAACAACCGGGCCGTATTTCTGACACTCCTCTCTTATGTCTTCCAGCACATCTGAGGGAAGAGAAAGCCATGTGGCCTGTGCTTTGCAAACTATTACCAGTTATAAACCACACTAGGGCAATCCAACTGTGTGGAATGTGAGCAGTCCCGACTGAGTCTGGATCAGTCACTTCTCATCGTACACTTAAGTCTCCTTCTTTGTCTGCGTACACCAGAGATGTCCCAATGTCTGAGTGAGCTGGAATCTGGACAGAGCTGGCTTGGCAGCGACCCAGCTAAGACCAAGAGAATCCTGGCAGGGAGAGGGAAGGCGTGCCAGAGGCTGGGCAGATAGTGAAGTGACTTGCCTGAGCAAGGCCGTGGCTAAGCCAGCACTGGAGAGTTCTCATGATGGACTGAAATGCTACCTCAATAAAAATGACTTGCCCAAATACCCTCTAGTTTGGTGAAAAAATTCTCTGCTGGCCCCTGGTTTGGCAGAACTTCTGCTGCAGGTTTTGAGGAAGGGGCAATATCAGGGTTAGCCTACAGAGTGGCTGCCATTGCTCCGCAAGGACACATACTGGAAGGAAGCGCTAAGCCTACAGGAGGGAATTCCAGAGAGCAGTCACCCAGCTCTCCCCACCCTTCATATCTTCATACCTACTCCACCTGCCCCTGATCTATAGGATCTTCTGCAGATCTCGCTAGGCCCAGGAGGAGCCAGGTGCTCAATGTGGCTCACAGCAGCTCCTGCAGATTTTAAAGAGGCAAGTCTGGAACCAAAAACAAGAGTCCTGGGGGAGAACCTGGGGAAGCAGGTGGCAAACTGGGATACCAGCTGGGGAGCCAGGGAATCTGCTCAGCTAGCGTGCTCTCCCTGAACTCTGCACTGTGGTGGGAGGGAGGCCATAGGAAGCACAGGATCTCTGGGGTGCTACAGGGAGCCTGGAGTCCAGCTCCAGCTTCCTCCTGCTACCCACTTGGGCACATTGAAGCACATGGTGGTCCTGAGGCACCCTACGCTCTTGCATGAATAGTAGGCAGCAATCCCATCATGGTGCCCAGGAGAGTACTTATCCCATGATGCTCCAGCTCTTCTTAAACCCCATTAACTTCACCTTCCCCACCAGGAGTCAAGCACTGAAGGGAAGATGCTACCACAAGCCTTGGTGTGGGTGTGGGGAACTGTTATTTCTCCCTAGCCGCTGGGGTGTCTCAATGACTTTTCTGCTCCATAGCCCTGCTACTTGGGAGGTGGCGACAGCCCTGCTGCTGTCTGCCTCCCCGGTGCCGACTGTCCCCCCGCCTGTCCACCAGGAGAGGGAGGGGATTGAAAGATTGCCACAGGAGAAGTACAGGAACATTTAGACAAGGCTGCTGCTGGGAGGCAGCAGCGACCTGGTGTCAGACCCAGGAGCATGGAGGCTGGGGAGGGGCATTGCTCTCTGTTCCCAACACATGGCAAGGGGGCTTTTGTACCTGGAGTATTCCCAGCCCCCAGAAATGCCTGCACTCAGTGGGCCACCCACTGATTCTGCTTGTCCCAGAAGCATCAGCAGAAAAATCATGTTATTTAAAGGGGTCTCAGTTCCAGACAGACGACATATAGTGTCTGGCAGAGCACTGCGTCCTTCAGTCACCAAGTCTCTGCTACATCACAGTGGGAACAAGCCCCGTCTAGGACAAGGGTGACAGCCTGGGTCCCCAGAGGGGAAACATTAGTGTCACGGACTAGACACGTGTGGCTGCACTGCTTGCTCACAGGAGTGGGGCCAGTCCTGTTCCCTGGTGTGTGCACTCACTGATCGTTTTGCACAGCTAGAAGCTGGAAGTTCCATGAGTGCTCTGTACTGGGTTATAATGTCACTTAAAGCAGGGAGGAAACCCGGCTACTACAAGCCAGGCTCTTTGTGAAGAGAGCTCATCCTATAGCCTACCCCCATAGGGGGCTCTCCTAGCTTTCTCCGAGCGTCTGCACTTTGTACACAACGTTGCTAATGTACGACAATACAGATAGATTATTTTAAATCTCTGCTGATGTCTGAATGACATCACTCAACGCATTTCAGCATTCTCCCCTCCCTCCCACCCTGTTCTGCACATGCAGGTGTCTGGCGCTGCTTTGACCCATTGGTTATGTGCTCAAGCAGCCCTTCTAGCCATCCATGAACTTACCCCAGTCTCTGGGTCACCCTCTCTAATCAGCTAGGCCCAGTCTCTTCTCAGAGCATTCTCTGCAACTCCTGCCGTCTGGAACAGCCTTCTTGTACCTATGCACTTGTTTCAAATCCCAGCCGAGTTTCTTTGCTCCCTTTTCCTTATGCCTCTAAACTCTCACCCCACTCTGATCCCAACAGCATTCTGGGATGTGGATTTGTACGACAACATTACTGCACTGCAGTCTGTAATACAGATACCAACCTTCATATTCTTCTTCACTCTGAAGAGAAGCATCACTCAAGACATTGAGCAGCCTTAGCACTGGAGTTGGAAGCATCATCAGATCTTCAATATGGGGAGCTGCTTTGCCACCACCCAGTTCCATAGAAGGAAAGGCATTAAACGGGAAAGCAGGGGGAGGGCGAGAAAGGCTGTATCAGTATTTACACTTTTGGAGGTACAGTTTTGTTTCCCCTCACCACATACATGCATTACACCCTGTAGCCATGCTGTGTGCAGCTGGCCTCAATCTGCACATTGACCAGCCTCCCTTCCAGGAAGGCTTTGAGTGCAACCTCTGAGACCCAAAGGCCAGAAGGTTAGTTTGCCCAGAGACAGTGGCTGAAAGTGATTTTAAAGGCACAGAAGCAGTGTGAATCAAGTCTGAAATTATTGCTATTCAGCTTGGATTCAGACATTGACAAGGGTCCCCAGGGCCAAGGTAGCTGGACCAGGTGTTACTTATACAGCAGGATATAAAGCCCTTCTACCCCGTCAATGAAAGGAGAGTTACTCATCTTGCAATTCTACTTCTCTGTACGTACCATCACTGCAGGATTCGCACTCGTGGGTACCATGTTCAAGCAGGTACCCACTCCTCTTGACCAGTGTTTTGCACAAGCTCCTTCTATTCCCAATGTCACAGCCTCAGTTCCCCCAAGAATATTTTCTGTCAGTTCCTGAATGCATGTGAAGCAAGACCTCCCTTCCAAATCCAGCTGTGCACCACTGCACCATGAGAACTGCACAGTTCACAGTATCAAGGGCAAAAGAAAAGTGCTGTTTTTTTTAAATGCAACCCTTTGCCTTAGTGTAGGGCCCCGTATTCTGGGGAGGTGGAAGGATGGGTGAGTTAGAACCCTGTGTGAGCTCTTCACAGAGCAGAATTACAAAGTAAGCGTCCCTTCTTTAAAGGCAAGTTGCCACTCTTGGAGAACAAGAAGCTCAAGGGATGCCTAGAAATCCTGCCATGTGCACTCTTGCTGCAGTGTGACCAGCGAGGCCAGCAGGCCAGCACAGAATAGCAAGATCCTAATGAATGGTTCGTCATCAAAAGACAACCAAGACCTCTAACAAACCCTAAAGCAACAAGAACTGCCCATGCCTTCAAAGGTATGAGGCGGGGTAAGTTCCCTAACAGACCACGAGGCAGATTGTAGATTGAGACCATGGCAGTCTGACCCACCTTCCCTCAAGGCCCTTATCTGTAGGTTACAGCAGCCGGGAAAGCAAAGAGGCAGTCCCTGGAGTTTTCACTCAGCTCTAACTCTGCCCAGCTAGTTGGGGTCTAGGAAAGTTTTGGAGATGAGCTCCTTTAAGGGCCTTATTCCATGTAAGATACACCCATAGGGCCTTCCCAATTAAAGTGGGAGGGGGCAGCCTCTCTAGGATGGAGAACGTTAGGAGAACGTTAACCAGCTAAGCAGCTATCTGTCCTAGAATGACTCAAGACCACCACCACCTCGCTAGACCTGTGTCAGGAGGTGCTGCAGTCCAGAGTGTGAGTGGAAGGAACAAAGAGTTAACAGGCAATGGCTGCTTCCAAAGGAAGCTGATCAATTTAGGAACGAACACTTAAGCGTCAGACCGAATGCAGCGGAGAAGGGGAAGAGCTCTAGTATAAACCACCGGTCCGAGGGCTTGCCTATGTGAAAATTTAGTTCACAGCAAGCTGGAGTGTGACTCTACCCCCACACTAGCCTGCCATGGACTAAGGGTACGTCTATACTTACCTCTGGGTTCGGCGGGAAGCAATCGATCTTCTGGGATCGATTTATCGTGTCTTGTCTAGACGCGATAAATCGATCCCGGAAGTGCTCGCCGTCGACGCCGGTACTCCTGCTCCGCGAGAGGAGTAGGCGGAGTCGACGGGGGAGCCTGCCTGCCGCATGTGGACCTTTGGTAAGTACCTTTACATTCGAACTAAGGTACTTCAACTTCAGCTACGTTATTCACGTAGCTGAAGTTGCGTATCTTAGGCCTGGTCCACACTAACCCCCCAATTCGAACTAAGGTACGCAAATTCAGTTACGTTAATAACGTAGCTGAATTCGACATACCTTAGTTCGAACTTACCGCGGTTCAGACGCGGTCCACACGCGGCAGGCAGGCTCCCCGTCGACTCCGCGGTACTCCTCTCGCTGAGCTGGAGTACCGCAGTCGACGGCGAGCACTTCCTGGTTCGACTTATCGCGTCCAGACCAGACGCGATAAGTCGAACCCGGAACTTCGATCCCCAGCCGCCGAACTAGCGGCTGGGTGTAGACCAGCCCTAAGTTCGAACTGGGCGATTAGTGTGGACCAGCCCAAAGTGTCCATGTGGACTCCGCTGATTCGCATGAACAGTTCGTTACCGTGATTTGACTGAGTCCCATTTCAAAGTGGACTAGATCAAAGTGCACTAATAAACTGTTAAAGCGATTCAGCAGGGTCAACGTGGACAGTTACTCTGCAGCAGGCTAGTATGGGGTAGAGTCACACCCCGGCTTGCTGTAAATGAAATATTCCTGTAGACAAGCCCTGAGTTTGCTGAGACAGGACTATCCTAGAATATCAGGGTTGGATGGGACCTCAGGAGGTCATCTAGTCCAACCCCCTGCTCAAAGCAGAACCAATCCCCAACTAAATCATCCCAGCCAGGGCTTTGTCAAGCCGGGCCTTAAAAACATCTAAGGAAGGAGATTCCACCACCTCCGTAGGTAACCCATTCCAGAGCCTCACCACCCTCCCAATGAAAAAGTTTTTCCTAATATCCAAACTACACCTCCCCCACTGCTACTTGCGACCATTACTCCTTGTTCTGTCATCTGCTACCACTGAGAATAGTCTAGATCCATCTTCTTTGGAACCCCCTTTCAGGTAGTTGAAAGCAACTATCAACCCTCCCCCCCCCCCCATTCTTCTCTTCTGCAGACTAAATAATCCCAGTTCCCTCAGCCTCTCCTCGTAAGTCATGTGCTCCAGCCCCCTAATCATTTTTGTTGCCCTCCGCTGGACTCTTTCCAATTTTTCCACATCCTTCTTGTAGTGTGGGGCCCAAAACTGGACACAGTACTCCAGGTGAGGCCTCACCAATGACGAATAGAGGGGAATGATCACATCCCTCGATCTACTGGCAATGCTCCTACTTATATAGCCCAAAATGCCGTTAGCCTTCTTGGCAACAAGGACATACTGTCGACTCATATCCAGCTTCTTGTCCACTGTAACCCCTAGGTCCTTTTCTGCCGAATTGCTGTCTAGCCACTCGGTCCCTAGTCTGTAGCAGTGCATAGGATTCTTCCGTCCTAAGTGCAGGACTCTGCACTTGTCCTTGTTGACCTCATCAGGTTTCTTTTGGCCCAATCCTCTAATTTGTCTAGGTCCCTCTGTATCCAATCCCTACCCTCCAGCATATCTACCACTCCTCTCAGTTTAGTGTCATCTGCAAACTTGCTGAGAGTGCAGTCCACGCCATCCTCCAGATCATTAATGAAGATATTGAACAAAACCGGCCCCAGGACCGACCCTTGGGGCACTCCGTTTGAAACCGGCTGCCAACTAGACATGGAGGCATCGATCACTACCCGTTGAGCCCGACAATCTAGCCAGCTTTCTATCCACCCTATAGTCCATTCATCCAGCCCATACTTCTTTAACTTGCTGGCAAGAATACTGTGAGAGACCGTATCAAAAGCTTTGCTAAAGTCAAGAAATAACACGTCCACTGCTTTCCCCTCATCCACAGAGCCAGTTATCTCATCATAGAAGGCAATTAGGTTAGTCAGGCATGACTTGCCCTTGGTGAATCCATGCTGACTGTTCCTGATCACTTTCCTCTCCTCTACGTGCTTCAAAATTGATTTCTTGAGGACCTGCTCCATGATTTTTCCAGGGACTGAGGTGAGGCTGACTGGCCTGTAGCTCCCCAGATCCTCCTCCTTCCCTTTTTTAAAGATGGGCACTACATTAGCCTTTTTCCAGTCATCCGGGACCTCCCCCGATCACCATGAGTTTTCAAAGATAACGGCCAACGGCTCTGCAATCACATCCGCCAACTCCTTTAGCACCCTCGGATGCAGTCCATCTGGCCCCATGGACTTGTGCTCGTCCAGTTTTTCTAAATAGTCCTGAACCACTTCTTTCGCTACAGAGGGCTGGTCACCTCCTCCCCGTACTGTGCTGCCCAGTGCAGTAGTCTGGGAACTGATCTTGTTCGTGAAGACAGAGGCAAAAAAAGCATCGAGTACATTAGCTTTTTCCACATCCTCTGTCACTAGGTTGCCTCCCCCATTCAGTAAGGGGCCCACACTTTCCTTGACCTTCTTCTTGTTGCTAACATACCTGTAGAAACCCTTCTTGTTACTTTTAACATCCCTTTCTAGCTGCAACTCCAAGTGTGATTTGGCCTTCCTGATTTCACTCCTGCATGCCTGAGCAATATTTTTTTATACTCCTCCCTGGTCATTTGTCCAAGCTTCCACTTCTTGTAAGCTTTTTTGTGTTTAAGATCAGCAAGGATTTCACTGTTAAGCCAAGCTGGTCACCTGCCATATTTACTATTCTTTCTACACATCGGGACGGTTTGTTCCTGCAATCTCAATAAGGATCTTTAAAATACAGCCAGCTCTCCTGGACTCCTTTGCCCCTCATGTTATTCTCCCAGGGGATCCTGCCCATCTGTTCCCTGAAGGAGTCAAAGTCTGCTTTTCTGAAGTCCAGGGTCCATATTCTGCTGCTCTCCTTTCTTCCTTGTGTCAGGATCCTGAACTCGACCATCTCATGGTTACTGCCTCCCAGGTTCCCATCCACTTTTGCTTCCCCCTGTTTGTGAGCAGCAGGTCAAGAAGAGCTCTGCCCCTAGTTGGTTCCTCCAGCACTTGCACCAGGAAATTGTCCCCTACACTTTCCAAAAACTTCCTGGATTGTCTGTGCACTGCTGTATTACTCTCCCAGCAGATATCAGGGTGATTGAAGTCCCCCATGTGAACCAGGGCCTGTGATCTAGTAACTTCTGTTAGTTGCCTGAAGAAAGCCTCATCCCCCTGGTCTGGTGGTCTATAGTAGACTCCCACCACCACATCACCCTTGTTGCTCACACG